AAAAAAAAAAGAAAAAAAAAAGAAAAAAAATCATAGTAATTCCAAAAAAGCAAACCAGCAGAGTGGAAGGAGAGCAGTCCCTGTGGAAGTGCTCTCGCCCGCGGTTTCCCGGCGAGGTGGAGGTAGAGAGGCAGGAGCGGGGCCGGGGACACGCGGGGACAGGAGGGGACACGGCGGGCGAGCAGGGGCATCTGCGATACTCTTATATATTACCTCTTCTCAGGAAACGTAAGAAAAATAGACAATATTACATATGTCACACCATAAATAAAGCCAACAGTCATGGGAGGGGCACCCGGCAAAGCTCCCGGGGCTGGGGGGCACAGAAACCACCCAGGGGGTGCACCGAGCTCTTGGGGGCACAGAAACCACCCTGGGGGTGCACCGAGCTCTTGGGGGCACAAAAACCTCCTCGGGGCTGTGCCAAGACCTTGGTGCACCCAGGAACCTCTGGGGAAATGCACCTTGGGGTGCACAGAACCTTCCCAGGGACACACCAAAATCTTGGGGTGCACAGAAACCGCCTGGGGGATGCTCTGAAGAGCCCTGGGAGGACCAGAGAGATCTCAGGTGCACCCCAGGGGTATGCATCAAGGTCTTGAGGTGCRCAGAACTCATCCAAGGTGATGCACCGAGGTTTTGGGGTGTASAGAAGCCCCTTGGGAAGATGCACCAAGTTCTTGGGTGCAGGGCTCGGTGCCAAGTGGCACAGAGCCGGTGACACCACCTTGGCATGTCCCAAGCTCTGCTGTGGCCCAGCTCAGCCCTGGGTGATGGCAACAAAGCCCACCCGGCCCCGAGCCCTTCCCTCCTCTTCCTCCCCTACGGAAAACACACAGGATGGGTTTTGCAAATGCAGAAAAACTACAGCTCCTCTCGATCCCAGGCCTCGCTCCGGCCAGCGCCACAGCTCCACGCTTCCTCCTCATCCTTTATTTGGCAAAAGTCTCGTATTATTATCACTATCATTATTATTATTATTCATTTTTTGGACCTCTGCAGACACTATTTACATTCACATTAGCGCACAGCACTGCTGCCTCCGCTCGGAGCCGCCGGACTTTCCGTATTGCACTTCCGTCCTCTGCGCCGCTCCAGCGAGGCAAAAATCCCAAATAATCCACATCGTCCTTGGCGCCTCCTCGGCCAGGAAGGAGGCAGCGTTCCTTTTCCTTTCCTTTTCCTCTTAAAAATCCTTGCGAAACAAATCCAGCGCGGGGTGCGGGAGCAGCCTGGCAGTGAAGGGATAAGGGGTCCCCCGACGGCTTCGGGGAGGGAGAAACCCAAAATCTGTCTTTTATTTTTCTTTTTTTTTTTTAAATTATCTTTTTTTTTATTATTCTTTTTTTTTTAATTCTCCTTTTTGTATCTCCTTTTCCAGGGCGGTGGCAGAGGTAGAGACGTGCCGGCTCCGGCTGCGCCCACCCGGGCGGTTCTCAGCCCCAGCTCCCCCTCCCACACCTTGGGGGTTGGGGGTTGAGTAAAAAAACACTTTTTTTTTTAAATTTTTTTTTTCTTTATTTTAATAGAAACTCTTTAAAGCCCCGGGGGCAGGTCCGTCCATCCTTGCAGGGAGGGGAAGGAAGCGACAACAGAACGAAACGAACTTTGGCAGTGGAGAGACGTTTGGATCTTCCTTGGTTTTGGATTTCCTTTGGAGCAGAGGTGAGTCTGGTCTGTTCTTGGCTAGCTAGCAAGGTAGTTACAGGTGAGCGTCCGTCACGCGTCGTCTGGTTTTTGGATTTTTCTTTTTTTTTTTTTTTTTTTTTTTT